AGCAGGCATAGAAATATCACTGAACAATGACAGGACTTCCACAAGCTTGGCTTTCTCTCTCTCTCTCTCTCTCCAAAAGATGAAATGATTCTTCAAAAAATATATATTAATGCTTAAACAATTATGTCTGTTATATCCCAATTGACCTGATGAGCCCTGATATTGGGAAAAAGGCCTCATTGGTGGTGAATATAATGTGGTTAACATATTATAACACATTCTCCTTTGCTTTCACTCATGGGTCCTTGGAATAACCAAAAAACTATAAATAAGCTACTCAGTCTTCATTAAGTAACAGCACTTTCAAAGTTCTCCTAATATATTAACAAAAATAGTTTGCCATGAAGCACATTTACTACCAAACTTATCTTCAAACATAAGCCATATGTAGACTGAGGTGTAGTATGCAGTTGTCAAGTGGAAGAGACATTTCTGCATTCCAGTGCCATTTCTCCAATTAGTCAGCTAATGAATGCGTAATGTGCATCAGTCTCATATCAGATATTCCCCGACTTTTTTCTGTGCCTACTGATCATGTATACTTTATTCTAACTTCATTTTACTTTCAAGTCAAGATTGTTTCAACTTATTTTTCCATTGAAATACAGTTCCTTTTATTTCTACATCTTCTTAATAATGCAATATTGTTTCTATCTATGATCAGCTATTACTACTTGTTTTTTAATTTTTAAATAAGGCATTTTATTATTTATAGACTTCAACACCATGTTTAGTCTCTTATTTCACCTGTCCTTCTGCCAAATTCTGCATATTAGATCCACAAATCTCTTATTTTGTAGAGATTAAGTGACTGTGTGCAGGTATATCTTGAATTACAACAAAGGCAAAATCCAATATTCTAAAATAGTGGCACAAACTTTTCTCTAACATCAAGAAATAAACACTATAAAAGAAAGACAACCTTTACGTTCAAAAAAATTTTTTTTAATACAAACACACAAAATTGAGTGTACAGTAGTACTTAATAGTAAGGGGCAACAAGAATTCCAAATAATTCAGAATTTTTATAATCCAATAAATATATAGATTTTTATAAATGGTAAACATATCATGCACATATTTAAATATCTTTTAAACTCTGTTCACCCAACAGATAGCGCTACATATTGATGGATAGATGTGCAACAGTTTCTGAAGGTAAAGTATATCCTTTATACAGGTATAACATAAAAAGTAAACAGAGAGAGAGTATTAAAAATTATGAACTTTAAAATGAAGTAAGGATCCTGCTACAAAAAGAAATTAAATAAGAATTAAAGCCACAATAACAAGTTTATAAAATAATAAAGTTCTTACCCCCAACCTCTTCTTGTTTAACAACCTCATGTTCCTCTACTTCCTGTTTAACCTTCTTTTTCTTCTTCTCTGGTTGATCTAACAAAAGTAAAAACCATAACTCAGAATACATGTATGTACAATAACTCTTCATTCTAAACTAAAATTTAGTTTCAGTTATATTAAAAACCAGTATTATGTTTGAAGAAAAAACCTAGTCTTCAATACTTGGGCGTACACCTAAAAATATTAACTTCTAACATTTGTCATCCAATACTCTGGAACTTTGTTTTTTAACAGTATGAGAGAGATAAAAAACGTAAGGAAAACCAATCTTAATTTATATATCAATATCCTTTATACGAGATAAAACCTTGGAAACAGCCAACACAAAACTTACCAACTTCTTCTGTTTCTTGACTTACGTCTGGACCTACTTCTGATTTCTCCTTCTTTTTCTTCTTCTTCTTCTTTTTCTCTGAAGCTTTTACAAAATTAAAGACAAAAAAAGTAATATTTTAAACCAGCTGTTCAATTAGGTAAGTTTGTATAACTTAAGCTTTTCACATTCTAATGAAACATTAAACAACAATACCTCCAAGCTATTAGTCAAGAAACAACAACATCACTCTACACTCCCTTTCAGATCACTCAGAACAAAACAATGTACACCAACATGAAACTGTTATACGAATCTAAAAAAAAAAAAAAAAAGCTGCCAAATGAAATAAACCATTGCCCTTGCACAGAACTATCATTATAAATAGTATTCTATGCACTCCCTGCTGGGAGTGACATTCAATCACTCAACAGTGAACAACTGAGAAGATTTTGTAACCTATCTATTAAACCTTCAAGTTCAGCGTAAGGCCATCACCCAGAAGTACACAAAGACTGTCCATTGTAGTTTCTAATATAGGTACATATAATCATATATTGAATATATCATTAACACAGAATTTAAAGTTGACAAAAATGTTTTGCTTTGCAAGTTTTGATATAGAATATCTGTATCCTAATAATCCGCTGGAAGAGACCTTGCAACTATGGTGGTGGATCTTTTTCAGAATGATGATTAATATAACAAGATTTCATGACTACATTTTTCAGAATATGCTAAGGTAGGCCAGAAAATAATCTCAATTTTTTTATTTACCAATATTGTACATAATCAGTGATCAAATTGACTGAAATGAAATTAATTAACTCATCAAAATTAATGTTTCCAATTATTACTATTTTTGATTATTCCAAACAATTAAAATACTGCAGTTATGTTTGTTGTTAAGTACAAAGCTATATAATGGGCTATCTGTGCTCTGCCCAAATGGGAGATATCAAAACCTGATTTTAGCATTATAAGTTGTTTTTTTTTCACTTTAAGTCTGTTCAGCTTTGTGCTAGCATGACCTGATGATTCGTGTGTGTGTGTCTTCATGAATCAAAGGTCTCAAGTTCAATTCCCATTGCCACTAACTGTGTCTAGATTTTAGATATTTTTTTCGTCAAAGTTCTATATAAGCTCTATAGGAAAGTTTTAAAAGAATGTAGAAAGATATAAAAATCAATAACCAAAGTCTACATTTATAATTGTTTCTTAAAAATTGTATCACAAAGAAATAAATCTCTCTAAAATTTCAAGGCTGATAATTCATATAAATATCACATATAAAAATATTCTATTTGCAGAAGAAGCTACATAATCTGTAGAAAAGAATTCTGAAGTTTCAAATTATCTTACCAAGTAGTTTTTGATCTATTTTACTTTATTTATCAAACCAAACAACAGGTGTCTAACCTAGATCTCAAAGAGTTAATTGACTTGTCAAAGATGTACAATTTGAATGTCAATAACAGAAGTTAACATTATATGCGGAGAAAACACAAGATTACTATGTATTTCATTAGTAAACTAGCCATTTACATATTTTTTTCTATAAGTCTTGCTGGTCCACAGAAAGAAAACCAACAATGCCCAAAGACTAACTAAAGATAAAAACTTATGAAAACTGATTAGTTCATGTTCCAATTGTGCAAACTCATCTTCAGCTTTTCTATAAATTTATCATTATGAAAATCTGTTCAACAATGAATTCAATATTTATTAATCATATTTCTTACACAGCAAGAAACCTATTTTTACCTGTTTGCATTTGCATTCATTATCAACATTCCAAAGTTAACAAGTTTTTTTACTTACTATCTGCCTCTTGAACTTCAGGTTCCCCAGTCTCTTCTTTTAATTCAACTTTAATTTTTTTAGGCTGAAAGGGAGAATCTTCTTCAATTTCCCCAATCTTTCGTTTCTGACCAATAGTTGGGATTGTGGAGTCCAAGCCTGGTTTGTACTGGTAAATCTCACTAAGGGTAAAAACCATGAGAGATCTCACAACATTTATCACAGTAAATGCTAATGTTCGTTTTCAAATCAAAGTTCAAACTTTATTTACAAACTAAGTTAAAGGAAAAAAAATGTATTAATAACATGCCACGGAAATGCTAACACACTAATTATCACTGCTAATCCACATTTATCAATCATAGTGTTATATATATATATTGTCATTTTAAAGGAAATTCAAAATATATTGCAATTTAGCTCTTTAGCAATCAGCGTATTATGCTTAATGCAAATGGAAAATTTATATTTTTAATAACATACATTTCAACATTTGTACACTATTTTTCCAATGACATTTTTAAACCTAATTACAACTAAAAAAACATATTCTTTCAAATTCATTGGTTTAATAATTTTAGAGAGAAAAAGTGTCATTTAAGGCTGAAATGGCTTTTAGCAACACAAAATTCTAGAAAGTAATTGAAATGTCATTTAAATACCTGCATGTTATCTGTCATATACAATAACACAAAATAAGGTACACACTTAAACATGGTAGAAGTACAGAAAATGACATGACCTAATTTGGAATGGGTCACAGAATTCACACTTGCAATGAATATTGTGAAAAAAAAAAGACATTAGTTTATAGCAAGTTCGAGCTCTATTTTGCACAATAAACTTGGCATACCAAAGGTTCAAAATATGTGAAAATGGTGGACAATACAAACAGAAAATGTATTCAAGGTGAACATGCAATGATTCACTTGTGACAATAACATTAGTAGCCCTAAATGTCACATCTTTCTAAATGTGGCTGTAACAAAGATGTTATGCTGTGGTAAAGACAGCTTGAGGACTGTTGGAGCCAACACACAATTACTAGCCCTAAATGTGGCTGTAACAGACATGCTGTGTTGTGGTAAAGACAACTCGAGGACTGTTGGAGCCAAAACAAAATTTATAGCCTTAAATGTCACATCTTTCTAAATGTGGCTGTAACAGAGATGTTGTGCTGTGGTAAAGACAACATGAGGACTGTTGGAGTCAACACACACACACATCTGACTGTAAAATACTAAGATGGAATTGTGACCTTAAAGTATCATCTATGGTGCCAGAGGAATATCCTCTACATGATTAGTCCTTAGAAGTGCAAGTCCCTTAATACTGTCTTACAATTTGAATGAGCCTATAGTGCCCACTGGGAAGCAGGAAAGATTTAATCCTGGTACAAGTTGCTTCAGTTGTGCTGAAAACACAAGTTAGACCTAAACACATTGAACAAATATCCACAAAATATGATCTGGTATCAACAGCTCATTCTGTTAAATAAAGATGTGTTTTATGTAAGATATCTTTTGATACAACACAAAAGTGCATAATTTTGAAAGATGGACTGATGGAATTGCAATGGGATCAAGCTTAGCATCATCACTTTCCAATTTGTTCATTTGTCATTATGAAAAAGAATGGTTGGAAAACTGCCCATTGATTTTTAGCCTATATATTATCAAGAATATGTTGACAATAGTTTCATCACCTGTAGTGAACCTCAACATGCAAGTTGGTCTTTAGTATATCTTAGCAATCTACACAAATATACAAGATTCTCTGTGGAACAACAACTTTTTTTCTAGAACACACTAATACATAATAATAACGATACTCTTGAATGTGAAGCGTAACATAAATCATTTTAATTAAAATAGTTTGAATTCACATTTATTTAAGGTAAACATGGTTTAAATACTAATTTATTGTACTTATAAAGTAGCTAGCACACAACAATATTTCCATAAGGACTTAAACATTTAAATATTTTTGAATAAAAATAGGTTTCCAAATAGAACGACAGATGGTATTGTGTGCAATGTCCAACAAGTAAAATTCAATGATCCAAAACAAAGTGATATTTCCATATTACAGACATATATTGGATGTGAAAAACCAAGTGTGTAACCTTTTTCACAGGACGTAGGCATAAACTGGTTATGATCAGTTTTTAAGCCTGAAAATAAGATACAGAATTTTAACAAATAAATATAGAATTTCATATTTAAAAAATCAAAATTGATATATAAATTTACATTTTCTAGATTTAATTCTAAATATATGGATAACAAGAAGCTTGTTTGTCCATCTAGGCAGTGTCATCCATTAAACTAAACTTTGTGAGAAAAAAAAAAGCCCCAAAACTAGCACATGTAAAGTTGGTGACAATTAATAAATCTAGTATACACATTTATGTGCATGGTGAATGTGTAGTTATATATTGCAGTATGTTTAAGATTCCTATTAAAAGGACATGATGAAAAGAGGTTATGTATAAAATACATTAAACCAGAACTGAAGAAGAGTTCAGCTGCTAAATTATTAGTATACAAAAACTAGTTTCATCTAGTGTAGATATTAGTAATAATTCAATAATTCTGATCAAGCCATATTCTATTGTTGAGAGAAATAATAGACTTCATTTTTAAGGATAAAAGCATTGTAAAAAACATTTTCTTTCTATTATAATTGACTTACAATTTGTGTTAGTGGCATTTTTAATTTAATAACCAAAGATAATCCATAAAGAAAGTAAACAACAGCAATAATACACATATATATAAAAACTAACATCTGAACACTAACCTTTTACTTTCATACTTTTCCCACTTAGCTCTGGCTTTTCCTGTGCCACTTATTTTCCTAAGCTGAGAAATAAAATTAGAAATATAAAGACAAGAAATTAAGTTTAAAAAGATTATTTACAAAGAAACGTGTAAGTTTAACAAAGTACTAAAGTTTTTTGTTTTTTTTTAAGTGCTAGTGCTGGAGTTAAATTAAGTTTACATTTAAACATGGTATCGAAATTAAGGAAGTGTCAATACAAAAAGCACTAATATAATACTTCAACTTACAGAAAAGCATTATTACAATTATGTATATACTCTGTAAAGAAGTACTTTTCTACATTATGATAGATCTACCAATATTAACTTGACTAACCATAATTCTCATAGTATTTTCTAACACAGATAGCTATATCACATTATAATACCTTTACTGAACTATCACTGTTACATCCTTGTTTTATCTGTATGGTATTTTACATTCAGCAAAAAATGTTGTAACAGCTACAAAGGTGCACATAAAAAAAAAATTGCACCACATCTATCCCAATTCTTATATAAACTTTATTATTCATCAATATTTCAAGCTCATTAAAAATGGGATATCCAACAAATTCTGGAAGTTCATATGATCAAAACAAATAAACAAACTATTCTTCTCAAACACAGCATAACTCTGAGGCGAAGCACCAACAAAAACACTTACTTATAAAATACTGGATTACTGGTTGAATTCAGATTTTTTTTTAGAAAATAGTTTTCCAGAAGTTTAACCTTACTATGTAACTGACAAATGGAACACATATAGTTAAACTGCACTACTTTCTCAAGCAATTATGCAGGTAAATTAATGAAAGAACAACACAGTAAAACCATCTGCACCAATGTAAAAGTATACCTTAAATCTACTTTAAAATATTTTTAAATAATTTGTTTTGGTTTGGCTGAAAACATATCTACAGATAAAAATAAAATCATTATTTACACAACATTTTGTTGAATTTCTCCACAAAGCTTTTCCAATTCTGGATAACAGTTATATTCCTACAAAATCAAACTAATTTGTAGAATGTAATAAAGAAAATTAAAACTTTAAAAATAATAACAGCAGAAAGACATGACACTGTGGACAATTACGTACACTTCCTTCTTCAAGCTGTTTTAGGCGAGTTTCTAACTTTGCTCTATGTTCTATTCCAAGCTCTTGGCTTGCCTCCTCACCCAAAGCATCAACACGAGTGGCTAAAGATGACTTTGCTGCTAACATTCTTGACATCTATGCATAAAAAATAAATAATGTATATTATTTTCTAATCAAAAGCCTTATAGCCAGATGTTTTAATATTTCTTATTCATGAATAGGTAAGATGAAAAAAAAACAATATACATTTATTTTATCAAATAATGAGAAATTGATAACTTTACATTGTCAGGATTTAAAAAATTTAAAACCACCACAATATATGTATAACTTTTGTATACAATGCTCCCCTTTTCACCTCAGGTATATCCTTTTGGATTAATACTCTATGGTCAATCAATATTGACAGAATAACTCACACTTTCATTTAACTTTCTTCAGTTCTAAGTTACTACGAACAATTAGCTGAGAATTTTAGATCAACCCACACTTAGGACTTAACTTTCTCTACTCACCTTTCCTTTCAGTTTTGGGTTACACTGACCAATGAGCTGAGCATGATAGATCAACCCATACTTAGGTGTGTCATGTTTAGTTTTAATTGCTCGGAAAAAGGCTTTTTCTGCTCCAAGAATCTGTACAGTAGATGCAGGGTGTTTGGCCAAGTTTAATAGTGAACCTGTCAGGGAAAAGTTATCAAAAATGTTATAATAGCTACAAGTGTAAAACACCAGGAACAGACACAAGCTATCTTACAACTGACTAATTATACACATTGTGAATACTTCAAGGAGTTTACTAGTTTAATAATGAACCTGTCAGAGAAAAGTTACCAAAAACGTTATCATAGCTACAAGTTTAAAATACCAGGAACAGACACAAGCTATCTTACAACTGGTTAATTATACACATTGTGAATACTTCAAGGAGTTTACTAGTTTAATAGTGAACCTGACAGGGAAAAGTTATCAAAAACGTTATAATAGCTACAAGTTTAAAACACCAGGAACAGACACAAACTATCTTATAACTGGCTAATTATACACAAGGAGTTTACTAATGACAAACAATCTAGTTCTTCATCCGCTCACATGATGTATATGAAATCCGACTTCCTGATTTTTTGCAGTAAATCTGACATCTTTTTTTGCAAAACAAACTCTTTTCTTAAATCAGAAATAGATAGGAATAAAAAAGATATTGGTAGATCAGAAAAAGGAATACATAAAATGGTATCCATGGAACATTATACTGGTAAATTTTGGCTGACAAGTGTCTCCCAAAGTTTTGTTAGCATCCCATGAAAAGGCATTCAAATACTAAAGTTATGATGGATGTCTCTGTTAGCTCCAGATGCTTTCCACTTTGTTATTTGTGAGTAGTGAAATCCTTTAGTAAAACAACTAAGCTATTGAACAACTTAAAACCATAAGTTTACTTATTTACTTGGACAAAGTAAAGCAAACAATTATTAAAGCACTATCAACCACACAGAAATCGGCCTCAGTGGTAGTGACGAAGGACAACCATCACTTCAAAATTTTCAGGTCCAAGAGTTTCTACATCATAGGCCAAGAATTAGTCACAAAAAGAAATTATGAGGGTATGTCCAATTTAAAACTTTTAAAAGTAGGCATTTTTGACAATGATATGTGCCAAACAAATATCTCCTACAAGTTATGAAAATAAAGATTTTTGGTACTTTTAAGATTTCTAAAAAAATAATAAATTTTAAGCTCACTAAAATTTTATTCTCTTAACAAAATTCTAAATTCTGAAACATACTCTGCAAGGTTACAAGTCTTAGTGATTCTGATGACTAGTAATAATGTGAATAAGCACATCTTAAAATGCTTATTTAAAAGAGAAGAAATTACCCGCATGGGCTATAAGTCTGGCTCCAACCAACTCGCCAACCAACACAGTCAGATTTGGAGCAATAGCCATCATTCTGTTCTTTAGATACTCATAAAGCTGTGCTCTGTAGTTCTGCATTTCCAGCACCTGAAGTATAACTTTCATCTTATTAAACATTCATAGAAATGAGCTCAGTAATCTTAAACTCCTCAATACCATGATCTTTGCAAGCATTCTATAACAGTCTAAAACAAACCCTAGATATGAATCAATTACAATCATGGTAGTGTGTACATAAACATAAATATACACTCATACATGTCAGTGTGTGTAGAGAGAGACTAACTACACATAATTACCACACTCTAGTTTTACACATCATATTTACCAGAGAAGGAAGAAGGATTTAACATGATAGGTTGATAATAATAAAGGCTCCACTGGCAAATGCATCTATAACTGAAACCATGCATATTGCTATGTTGAAAAATAAAACTTTCTCTACGATAAATATGAACAGATATGAAAATTGTAAAACCTCAAGTTCAAAGATCAACAATATATGATTAGGATCACCACATATTAGGCCTTTTGGTAAAACACATTATAAAGAAGAAGACAAACTATTATAATATGCTAAGAGTTTAATGATGGACAAGACCAATCAGAGCCAGATAAAACTGTGATATTGTACAGAAGCTATACACAAAAAATTTATTGTTCTAAATTTATCATAAACTATGGCAATATGATCAGGTGAGTCAACATTCACTCTTTCTCATTAAAATGATTTTGTGTTTTGATATGGCCCCAAAATATCGTATACCCTTGGACACTTAATTCTAACTTTAAGTACAGATAGTTTCATAACAGAGTGGGTCACCTTTTGTTGGTATGGATTAGGTCCAATCATTGCACTGAAGAATAACAATCAATGAGAAAATCCTGAGAAACCAGGCTCACTCTACATTGCAGGAATTCTTTTGTTGTTGTCTTTTGAGGTAATAGATCTAACCATGAATAAAATTTTTGGCTGCAGTATGATTTGCCAAGTATGAAAAAGCCTTTCATCATCTACCCTGGTCTGTACAACAGCCAGATTTGTCTCAATACACAAATTATGGTGTATTTTTCAAACCTGTCTTGACATGACTGAAAGCAGTTATTACTGAGAAATCCTGTTGAAATCTTACAGTGACTTATTGTTTCTGTAACATTCCTGTTAAAATTTTACAATGTCTTATTGTTTCATTATCAAACTTTTCAATAATGTTATCCTGAATACTCATTAGATTGAATAAAATATTACATGTTCTTAATCACAAACACACACAAATATATTTCAAGTTAATACATGAATAAGACAGTAAAAGTGCTAGCAAATGAATACATTATAAGATTCTAATGATAACAACAAATGTCTAAAAATATAAACTTAAGCTAAATAAAATAAAAAACAGTTTAATGAGGTATCGAAGCTCAAATTAGTAATTTTTGAGCATATATTAAGTTTCTACTACTTTTCCCAAACATACTTCATTACAGAGATGCTTGATGTTCATGATGTCTTCCTCTGACACTTCTGTACCCATGGAAACCTCAGCAATCTCCTTTACTTTATGTTCCAACTCCTCAGGAAGAAAATCAGACATATCGCACTCAGCAGCATTAGTCCTCAATCCTGAAGAGAAAAAAAGTTACTCTTACTTAACTCTTTCCAGACTGTTGGATGTTCAGCATACACTCACAACTCAACTTTTAAAATGTATTTGAAAAATATAATTATACTTTTATTTCAAAACTTTTAGATCACTTTCTTGGTATTTTATTCATCTATTTATATATATATCAGTTGAATTAACATTTCTCAGGAAAGCCTGGAGAACTTTGAATGGTTCTCACAATCTAAAGCTAATAAACCAACAACAAAGGGAAATTCTAAGTTTTAATAGTGCCATATTACACTTTTGAAAATATCATAGTTGGGTGCAGTCAACAGTATTGATAAAATCACAAAACTGTTTTGAAATAAACTTCCTATTCCTAAATGGAACGTTTTTTTTAAGTTTCTGATTATGTTTTTCTTCCTGATAATGTTATTGTGTTATATTTTTTTGCTTTTTAAAACACTGTTTTAAAACATAATTTCAGAAGTTTCACAACCTAAAATATAATACAAACAGTAAATAAAATGTTTAGTGAATTATTTCACATAAAAACTGTACACTATTTTGAAAGTTTGTATGAAGTTGAATTTAATCTGATTTAAAAGTCTTTTCACTGTGAGAACATACAAACAGTGGATTTTGCCAAGTCTCCATAAATCTGGAAATGGTTAACTGATGGTCAGTTAGCAAGTTTTCTTATTCATGATAAAGAAGAAGAAAAAAACAAGCTCTTTCATAGTGATACTGATGACAACTACTTCTACTCCACATAATACATAGCTGCAATTTTTTCAACACATCTTCTAAACAGAACATTAAAAGAAGTATTTAAGGAACATACAATATAGTGTTATGTGAATACAACCTTAAAAGTGCATCACACTTATTAACTGAATTTTTGATGTTATATGGTATAAACCATCACTTCATACATGTTTAAACTACTCTAAATAATACAAGTGCTAATATTATTAGAAAAACTTACCAATAGCTAACACAGTATGCACATACTGATTATTGTCTGTGATAATTTTTGAAAGCTCAGGAAAGTGCCATCCATACCACTCTTTACTTCTCATGATGTAGTTGTTGAGCTCTTTGTCTAAGTCATCTAACAAGGCTGCAAACAGAACCAAGTGCATCTTGTTACTTAAAGACAATTAAAAGGATGATTACAGAACAAAACTGATTTTTCTTCTTTATCCATGTTACCTAACTATGCTAAGGACAATAAAACAGTTGTTCATAGTGTTCGTCTTTACTCAACTATACTGCATTATACAGTTTTAAACAAACATGATGGATTTGAAAAAATTTATTTGTATAATTTTCAAATTCACACTTGCTATTAAACCATATGTGGAAATATGTAAAAATAATTATCATATGTGTGACATATATTAGCTTTCAGGTGTTGTTAAAAAACATATCTTACAAACTAGAGCTGGGCAATGTAATACATTAATTGATTACCTATTGAATAGCGTCATGTAAACTAACTGAAATTAGTATTTTGGATTATTCCAACAACTGATTAATGGAAATTTTGACTAAATCAACTGTAACAAAAGTAATAAATTTTTATCAAAATTAGTTGTTCCAATTATTACTGTTTGATTACTCCAACATACCCATGTAATTAAAATATTGCCATATGATTGTTTGTTGATAAGCACAAAACTATATAATGGGCTATTTGTGCTCTACTCACTATGGGTATCAAAACACAATTTTAGCATTAAAAGTTATTTTTTCTTTTCACTTCAAGTTTGTTCTTCTTTGGGCCAGCATGCCTTCATGATTCAAGGGTCTCAGGTTTGATTCCCTTTGCCACAAAACTTGTTCATCCTGTGCTCCTGTCACTAATTTTGAACTGCTGACAAGAGCAAAGGCTGGCAGCATCCACCACCAACTTATAAGCAACTTTTTTAGTTTGTACAGAAGAAATGCTTACCATGGTTTGAGAAACACTTTACTAACTGATTAATCAAATGTAATCAACTGATGGGCCCATTGATCAATTGATTAGTAAATACTACTAACATTAAAATAGATTTTTGAAGCAACAAGTACACAAGAAAAAACAGTATTAAAGGCAAAAAACAACAACAATACTTTCTTCTTGAAGTTATGAAATTAAATAAGAAATAAAACGCCTAAATATCATTGAGCATTTTACACTTCTTAAATTTTAGTACACATAACAATACTGTAATAAACAAATTAAAAACTGAAAACTTACACACAGCTTGAATTATCATTGTGTCAATCTTGTCAGGACTGAACTTTAGCTTGTACCTGGAAAGGCTGTAAAAGAACAAAAACACAGCTTTCAAAATCAATTGAAAACAGGGAAAAAATATATATAGAGAGGGGGGGGGGAACTTATGAATTTAAGCCTCAGAGGTAGTGACGAAGAAATAAATATTCTTCATTCTGAACATACTCAGTTATAATTCATTCATCACTGGCTTGATAATTTTATGTTAATTTCAGTCTTCATCCCAAGGCTTTCTTAAGAGTCTTAAAAATAATTTTCAAGGCCATTACATAAAGAAATGTGCATGTGCAACAACCAACGTCTTCTTCCATGTAGTGTATTAATAATATGAAATACAGAAGCATGCCAGGTTTTTATTGCAACTACAAAAATTATACAAAAATTGATGTATTTAGTCTGTTTAATTATTAACAACTAATAAAATTCAAGAGATTTATAGAAAATTGTAAATTTCAATGCTTTGAAATCCCACAATAAAATTCCAATATTTCTCAATACTTAAAATTTCCATCTTACTTATCTGTCATTTCTAACAATATTACTAAAAAAACAACAACAACAACAAAAAAAAACAAAAATAGTACATTCACTTGTTTATAATATTAACCCAGGGATAGAAATAATGAAATAAAATTACATTCCCTCATGTAAAGTTACATTTCCTCATAAATTGTTTTTTTATTTAATCCATGCAATGTGTTTACTTTCATATTGCTGAACCATGCATTCGCAATTGGGAAAGATAACTAAAAAGATGAAATTCGATCCACGTAACCTTAATTCTTAACAAATTATGCTGTAAGTCTTGCAAGACATTTTCTCTGTGAACTTACTTAGTACCAAGGATTATATCTCTTTCTCAAGTCTCAGATGACATTTTATCAGTGAGCTAACTACCTGCCAAAGCTGTCAGTCTCATGACATTTCACCTAAGAGCTAACCTGGTACATCTCATCTTGCCATCTCATTTATGAGCTAACCTAATGCCAAAAAATATCTTTCTCTCAAGTCTCATATGACATTTACCTGTGAGCTAACCAAGTGCCAAAGATGTCTTTCTGAAGACTCATGACAGTTTACCTATGAGATAATCTAATACTGAAGATATATTTTCCTCAAGTCTCATATGACATCTTACCTATGAGCTAACCAAGAACCAAAGTGGTATTTCTTTCTCAAGTCTCATATGAAATCTTACCTGTGAGCTAAACCAAGTGCCATAGCTGTTATCTCTTTCTGAGGAAGTCCAACAATAAGATTGTCTATCTGCATCCGAATACATCGTATGAGCTCCTGTATAGCACTGTTATAAACACAGCTGACATTCAGTTTTTCCTATACACAAATGAAAAATCAAACTCACAGTATAAGTCCACTACATCAAGTGCACAATCAGTTTTCAAGTATAGCAAGCAAAACTTTGATAAAAGGATAGCAAAGAATTTTCCTTTGGAAATGCTCAAAAGTTTTTACTTTTATTTTAAATTAACTATGACTCTTCAGAAAATAAATATCAAAAATGTACACTTTAGAGCAGCTATATCATTATCTATAGTGAAAAGGTACATATTACAGCTCTAACTACATTCTACAAGCTTAGTAGGGATTCCAACCCTACCTAAACTAAAATAGCAATTATTTAATTTTAGTATTTGCTTTCCTATCATGAGCAATGTTAAAATCCATTAGGTGTAAAAGTTCTTTTTCTCTTCTTTTGTACAATTTAATGCATAGCCAGAAGGCAATATATTTACACTTAATGTCTGCAACATCTATGCTTGACATGAATTCTATATCAGAATACCATTTGTAATTGCTATGATTATTGTTTTTTTTTGTTATTTTAACATTTAGTGTACTACAAATGTCACATATCTATGAAGAACAGTAGCTACTTCATACAACCCAAATCTTAATAAACTGATATAAAAAGAAAATATAAAATCTCAACATTTCAGTTATAATTGTATTTGGGGAGAAATTAGAGTGAATACATAACAAAGTTTTCAAAATTTGATATCATTTTGCCCCTGTAAAAACTTGACACCAAGCTGATGAAAAATGACTGACAATAATACACTCTCTTGTAACTGTTTGCTATAGTTTTTGTTTTCTTGTTGCACTCTTAGTGTTACTATTCTATTTTGTTGTTTATTGATTATTATATTTATTTACTCAACAATATTATACCAAAAAAGACTGATTTTTAATATGTAGCATCAAATAAACAATGTGCACTTTTAAATTTCTATTTAAATAAAATATGGTTATTGTTCTATATAATATATTTTTAAACTACATATGTATGGTTCATTTCACTTATATTGATTACCTGTAAAATAAAAGGGTTTTCAGTCAAATATAAACTAGTAATTATGGTGACATCATTAGTAAATTATACAAATTAGTATTATCAAATGTTCAAACCTTCATACAGTAATGCATTATGAACCTTTAAGGGACAAATTCTAACATTAATTATAGCCCTAATGTTCACAATGTTTTGATTTTATATTTGACATAACAGAAATTAAAGAACAGTCGACAATACACCAGGAAAAGTGAAGAGGAAATAGATTATGATTCTGAAAGAGACAGAGAAACTTCATACATAAAACCTTTCATAGTCATAACTGTCATGAGACAAGTAGCTGTGAAAAACCTTGAATACAATGCATGTGATGAAAGCTTTTTAGTGAGTGTATCATAAGTTTTACATAATCTGTTATAAAGATATGATTACAAGGTAAGATTTGCACATATGTATCATTCAGTCTTCAAATTATAGTATATAACACTGCATAAGTAGTTCAAGATATCTCAAGAAAATGTGTATTGATTACCATGAAATGTGAACAACATTTTGTAAAGTATATGTTGAAAAATACAGTACATTTATGTGTGTTTCTATCAATCTTAAAATGTTCAACCTTCTAAGTTATCAAAAATATTTCAATATACACATCTGTATCTGAATGAAATTTATTCATAGATTGTAATTTTTGTGATTTATCAATTTTCTTAGTTTCACCTATACTTTAAAGGTATCATTTGAGTACTACACTTAATTATGTTGTTTTTTTGTTGTGAGGGTGTCACCCTGATACAGAATTACTACCTTATGCTTTTTCAGATTTTCAGACACACATTCTTAGCTAGATGGCTTTCATTTCTATATTTTCTGAAAAAAGTAATATGGTTATCCCTTGTTAATTGGCTTATGAATACGACTTAAGTGGCCAATATTTCATTTAGTGTTAAGAAAGTATTTCAGTCTTATATGAGTACAGATGCAGAAGTAAAAATGTTTAAGTGACTACAATCTCAACAGTATCAGCATTTCATTTCCTACTCATAACATACCTACAGGATTATGTTATTCAAACTTCAAAAAGATAGAATTTAAAGGGTATGATCATAATGCTGTCATCTGGGGTTGAAAATCAGAATGATTCTGCCAAAACGAAATATTTGGTATCTCTGCAACAGTGATGAGTGGAAAAGTTACCCATTATGACTGTTTTTACCTTTATTACATTTCCTAATTTTGCATCAGCAACTGCAAGACTTTCTTGAGCTTCTTTGGCAACTAATTTCTTGAGAAGTTTTTTCAGTCCTTTACTCATCTTTCCTTCTACTGCTGCTGTTGCAGCTAGAGACAGAAAAAAACCTCATTAAGGCTTAGATTAACCTGCTAATAATTAACAACTACACAATACATTTTAGAAAACAGTACAAAACGAAAAATTTAGGTTTTACAATAAGTTCCAAGAAACATAATTTTAAAATCTTTCACAACCTATGAGCTATACCTAACTACAATAAAGTATATACCAGCTTTATACAGTCTGCAGGCTCTACATAACAGCACTAAAAACAAAATTACATCTCTAAATGTTTGTGGACTCATAATGACAGTACTAAAGGTAATGTTTTTTGTTATTTTTTCTTACAGCCAACAAACTAAAGGACAGAACCTAAAACCCCAAGAAACTTTGCTGGAACTGGTCAGTGACATAAAGACCCCTGACTTATCAATGTTATTTGTCAGTTAGAATAATTGTGTTCCAAAGTTAAGTACATGTAATGATAATTTTTATAGTAACCACAACATTGAAGGCCGAGATGTAATTGCTAGTTTTGGGACTTGTGGTCAATTAATCTGAACATGTCTATTATATTATCTTCAGTTATGGAGCTGAAGCCTACCTATATGATGGAAAAAAATATTAAAAAAAATAAATCCATTCACAACATTCAAAAATTTCATCATGATTGGACTCAGGAGCACTTTGTGGGCAATATTTTCCTGCTATATACAAGGCATAGCCACTTTCATTGCTATGCTGTTGAACTTAACCAATAAAGTAATCATTCATAAACTTTCCAAACAATGTTTATCATTCTGTAATAGCCATACACATGATTATATATATGGCTTTTAATTGCCATATATAACAACAAGGAATTTCCAAATAAAGCAAAAAAAAAGTAAATCAAAACAAGTCAACAAAAGGCAAAAGGTCTTCATATGTTAAAAGCACAAGTACAGAATTTGTTGTCAAGAAGTACTGTAAAGACAACCATGAAACTTTAAGTTTGATTGTTACAAATATATCCATTATTACATTTGTTGCAGAAATTTATTTTTTTGCAAAGCCTGCATGAAATTAAGAATTGGAATGTTTTTAACAATACAAAAAGAAAACAATGTTGAACAAGCTTCATTCACCACTAGCTTCTTCTTTTGCACTTTGCCTGTTCATATTTCACAGTCAGTAGCCAATTTACTTACAAATATATATTAGCTAGATCAATTCTAAAAAAGGCAATATTTTTGATTTATCAATACATAAACAATGCATATATTACCTGATAATGCCTCTGTCATGTCTTGAAACTTTTGAAAATGTTTAAGTTTCACACTGTAATAAACAAAAACCGTTATCATCTTTTAAATTCCACCAATATTTATATTTATTGTAACAAAATGCATAATCACTGCATGATTTTCTTATCTCTCACAAAGTTTTTTTTACCATTTTGTCAATACTATACATTTCAAGGTGAGTAAATGCATATTTTATCTAAAATATACACATAAGTAACAAAAGTAACCATTATTCTATCTTCTGGCGAAAATGAAGCAGTTAGATGTGACTGTTTAGTAAAAAACATGTTTTCATATTTGTGTCAGAAATATAATAAAACATTTATCAAAATCAATGTAAATATATTTTAATTCCACAATTTTATGAACTTAGTATTATTTTTGCCTAATTTGGTAAATTTTCCTTTAATATTGATAACTTTGTAAATGTGTCATTAAGAAAAACAAAATGTAAATGCTATTCAACAAAATCATCCTGGGCTAAGTTTCTCAAACTTTCTAAGAAGTAAAACTGAAAAAACGTGAACATAATATGATTTATTTTTAAATATATTATGGTCAACAGATTTAGGCTACCAGCTAATTTGCAAAAGTTATAACTTCTTCATAAGAGAAAATCTACTTTTCATTGAAAAACTATACTATACAGCTAGAAACTTAATATTACTGTTTAACAGTATATCAACTGACTTGCATTGAAAATACAAATACCTACACTTTGCTAGCAGTCTCTGAGCTTTCAAAATCTTTGTACAAATTTTCAGTCTCTTGTAATTTCTTTTCATCCAGTAACTGAAAAGAATTGAAAATATAATTAAATGAACTATTAATAATGCAACAAATTGACAAAGATAATACATTTAAAGAGCCATACTTAGGCCAAGAAAATCTTTATAAACAAATGCAGTCATTTAATAACACTATTCTACATTCCACCTATAAATATTCTATAAATAAAATCTTCAGTCTCAACATAATAAAACAAGGCTTGACATTAACTCTTGAACCCACTTATCCAATCTAGAAATTGGATGTTAAATTTCATTTACTCAAAACTGATATTTAGTTGCATGAAAATTTTCAATGAAAATCAAAACAGAACCTGAGCAAATTACCGACTTTTGGAAATAATAATTGGTGTATAGATTACCAATGTGCTATAGCAACTGTACATTTTTATTATATCACAAGAGGTCATGGAAACATAAA